CCGATAACAGTGGGAATTATGAAATCTACAGTGACGCCTCTCTGAATGGTCTAGGCTATGTGTTGATGCAGCATGGAAAGGTGATCGCTTATGCTTCATGACAATTAAAACCCCATGAAATGAACTACCTTACTTATGATCTTGAATTGCCAGCTATTGTTTTCGCTCTAAAAACTTGGTAGCACTATCTTTATAGGGAAAGATGTCGAATCTTCATTGACCATAAAAGCCTCAAGTATATCTTTACTTATAAAGAACTTAATCTCTGGCGGCATAGATGGATTGAATTGATCAGCGATTATGACTGCACTATTGAATATCACCATGGTCGTGTGAATACTGTAGCATATGCTTTCAGCAGGAAATTTCACGGTTGACTCAATGCTCCTTATGCATGTCGTGTTCAATAGTGGATCACCAAGAAGCCCTACTAGCCAATTTTTATGTCAGACTAGTTTTATTGGATCATGTTCTCGAGGCTCAGATGAATGATTCAGAACCCAAGAGTTAAAGCAAGTAGTGTTGAATGGCAATAGGAGAGATCTCAAAATTCGAAGGCCTGATGGTATATGCTCATGCAAGGCGACCGAATGTATGTACCGAATGTGGAAGAACTGAAGAAAGAAATTCTCGACGAAATGCATATCTCAATTTATGCGATGCATCCTAGGAGTACTAAAATGTGTCATACTATCCGACCTTTCTATTATTAACTAGGAATGAAAAGAGAAATTGCAGAGTATGTGAGTCGTTGTCCGGTCTGTTAGCAGGTCAAAATCGAAAGAAATAAACCATTCGGGCTACTACAACCACTTCCTATACCCAGTGGAAATAGGAACACATTACTATGGATTTCGTGTACAAGCTACCTTGCACACGAAATGGCTATGACGGTATCTGGGTGTTTGTACATCAGCTTACCAAGTCAACGCATTTCTTACTTGTTCGTGAAAACTACCCACTAAGTTGATTGGCCGAACTTTTCGTCTTTGAAATTGTTAAGTATCATGGTGTTCCAGTTAGTATTATTTCTGATCAAGACCCCAGATTTACTTCGAAATTCTGGGTAGCTTTTCAAGAAGCTCTAGGTTCGAAATTACTTTACAACATTGCCTATCATCCTCAGACCGATGGATAATCTGAGAGAACTATTCAAATGCTGGAAAACATGCTGAGATCTTTAGTCCTGCAGTTCAGAGATGAATGGCACAAATGCTTACCTTTGATAGAATTCGCCTACAACAATAGCTTTCATTCCAGCATTGGTATGTCACCATTTGAGGCGCCGTATGGGAAACCTTGTCGTATACCGTTGTGTTGGTCCGAGGTTGGCGAAAGAGTTTTGGTAGGTCCTAAAATTGTAGATGAGACGATGCAGAATATTCAAGTTATAAAGGATAACTTGAAGGCAGCACAAGATTAACAAAAGAGTATAACAGACAGACATTCGACAAACAGGGTATATGCGGTTAAAGATTGGGTATTCTTAAAGTTGTCACCATGGAAATGCATTGTATGTTTCAAGAAGAAGCGAAAGCTAAGTCATCGTTATATCGGGCCATATTAGATCATTTAGCGAGTTGGTGAAGTTGTCTACTAACTTGATCTACAGCCAAAATTGTCTAGAGTGTACAATGTGTTCCACGTGTCCATGCTACGGAGATACGTCTCTGATCTGTCACATGTGATTTAACCTCAGCCGTTAGAGATTAACCCAGATTTGACTTATGATGAGGTTCCAGTGCCGATTCTTGATTGGAAAGAAAAAGTTCTCAGAAACAAAACCATTTGTATGGTGAAAGTTCTATGTAGAAACCATTTTGTTGAGGAAGCTAGCTAGGAGACAGAGGAGTGTATACGAGATCTTTATCCACGTTTGTTCTTTAACTATGATCTTCAGTAGTGTTGAAATCTCAGGGATGAAATTTTCTTAAGGAGGGTAGGTTGTGATGACCCGTCCCTAATTTTCCTTGTAATTTCCTTCCTGAGTGTGTAAAATGACGATTATACCCTTGTTGGCAACGTAGAACCTGACGTGGACGTTGTTATTCGGATTTTAATTTAATTTTCCTATTACTATAGTTAAATATTACTCGTTGTTACCAATGTGTGAGCGCGAGTTAGGCCCGAATCGGATTTGGAACGATAAAGTTATGCTTAGTTAAAGTAAGTTAACAACGGGTAGAATTGTACACGTTTGTGCTAATTATTTAGTGTTAGAAACACTATTTTTTATAAAGAGATAGATTTTGTGTACATTTTATATAGTACAAATCTGATCTCTTTCCATTTTAAAAATGGGTCATGTGACCCTATCTCATCCACCAATCAATTCACTCCCTCACTTTTCTCATCCAGTCATAAATTCTCTCTCTAACTCTCTCTCTCTCTCTCTCTCTCTCTTTCTCTCTCTCTCTTCTCCTTCTCTCCTTCAAGCCAAGTCTCTTTCTTCCTTTTGCAATAACTAAGAACACTCATCAGACCTCACGGATCAGACCTCAAATCACCACCATCGTACTCATCTCATTCCCACGAGTCCATTTGTACAAGCCAATTAAAAATGATCGAGTTTTGAGCTTCCAACTCGGAGCTCCGACTGGGGTGTAGGTTCTTTGGTGACTTTCCATTCGAGTTGCAAGGTTTTGGAAGGTCAAGATGCAACTACACAATTCCCTGAGGTATCTAGCCTAAGTTTGAAGTCAAGCCAACGTTTAAACACGCGGCTTTGGAACGTTGGAAATAAGGCTGAGACTTTCGAGGCATTTTTAGTCCATTTCATTCAACTTTTTGGACTTTTAAAAGGTACAAACTTGTTATTCTGTTCCCAAGCTTCATTTCCATATAAAGTATGTCAAAAATGGTTGAGAAATGAGGAAGATATGAAGTTTTAAAGTTTTTACAAAAATCCAGCCAAATTTTCCAGATTCCGACGAACCAGATAGTGGTGGAGGTCTACCGGAGAAGGAGGAGGAATATTTCGTTAAGTTAACGGAATATTCTAACGCTATTAAGGTAACACCGTTAACTGATGTCGTTATATTTAACAGAATATTCCGTCAAATCTGACGAAACATTCTGTCAGCGCGTGCGGGCGAGTGCGTGTGGTCGCGAGTTGGTAGTGCGTGAGGGCGCGTGAGACCTTGTGGCGGCGCATGGTTGACGTGTATAGGTCCGTGACGTCGCTGATAATGTTTTCGTATGTTTAAACCCTCCGTTTGAGCAAACCATGGGGGATTTTCCTAGCCTTTTCATGTATGTCCTAATTAATTAATTACGATAGTTGCTTCGCATGTAGGAGAGAATTATCAAGTGGAGGTACGAGGACAAGCAAGGCTCGGAGGCTACGATCCGACTACGTATCAATGAGTTGGCATTTGTATTTATATAGATTATATATAAAGTTTTATAGTTTCCACAAATGCTTTTGGATTGATATTATGCCTATTATGCCATGTTTTATTTAATTTTAAAAAGTGCTATTATATTGTTGAGATTTATAAATTGTCATGGCATGTTCATATACATTTTGCCTGCTCATCATGCATGCTTGCACAGGTGTAGTACTTGCCCCGGGCCAGGGTCAGGCTTCATGTGTATGTTCACATTGCATCGCACGCTCACCTTAGATCCATTGTAGGAGCCAGTCTTCTCCTAGGTTGTAATAGGCAACTACAACTCCTATGTGATGCGCCTAGTGCCAGTCTTCATGTGATTGTAGTACTAAAACATATATTATGATACACCTAGTCCTATTCATGTCAAAACTTATTAAGTTTTGTGAAAACCTTTTGAAAAATCATGCAACCCTTAAGAGTATGACAGTCGCCTTAAGTGAAGGTACAATTTCAGGGTGACATTCCAACTTAAATTCCAAATAAAAAAAAAATTTAAAAAAATTGTCAAAAAAAGCCAGGATGGCACACGCCGGCACGTTCTTGCGAAAATTAAAAGATCACCGCGTTCGCATTCCTACGGTTCTCTGGCGGCGGCGTCTGGTTTCCTTGCCAACGTCGTGGTCTTCGACTTTGAGGAACTTTCTGGTTGTGTTGCGTTGGTGCCCAAGGTCTGTGCGTTTGATCAGCGTCTGTTTCCAAGGGTTTCTACGTTTTAATCAGCATGCGTTATGCTTCTCGTCGATTCCACTGATTTCTAGAATTTTGAATTTTTTGGGTCCCCAAGGGCCAAGGTTTATCGGTTTTCTCTGCGTTTGAACCCCAAGGTCTTCTTGCCGCTACGTTTCAAAAAATTTGGAAAAATAGCCAAAACTTAAACCCCATAAAGAATTATAACCAAAAATTGATATGAAAATACTAATATATTCTTAAAATAAGTTTTCCAGGAGAATTAAAATCTCTTCATCTTCCAAAGTAGACGACGACGGAATAGAAGACAGCGACGATGACAAAGACGGTGACTTCGGTGATTATGGTGATGAGTGGGACGAGGAGACAACAATGGTGAAGAGGGTGGCTATGAGAAAATTAAGGAGGGAGATGACGAGGAATGTTACACCACATGTTTTTATGCAACTAGTGAAAAATTTTAATTTTTAAGTTATTAATCTTATAACACACATAACCCACAATTTATATAGGGACACATGGTGTACCACCTCGTGTGACGGTCAAATTTTTAATTATGACGGGAATACGGATTATACACCATGTGTTTTTATGCAAGTGGTGGAAAATTCTCCTCTGCAACAGCGTAATCCACTCTCTCCAAGGGAAGTGTCGGAAACAATCACATTCTACTAAACCAAATCAAATTAGAAAGAACAATAAATCAGAAAAGGGGAAGCATGTTGACAGACTCCAAAGGACATCCCGTGGATATGCAAAGCATAATGGTTTCTCTCAACATCAAGCAGCCATACCATCAAAACAAATGACGATCAAAGCCTCCCAATCTTTTAGGAGGCATCAGAAATCAGCTCACCCTAATATTGATAGACTCTCAGCTTTTCATTCTCAGTCTGTCACTCAGATTCCTCACCAATGTTAACTAGAATTTCGACATAGGAGCAAAGCTTTGCAGTCTAAACACGAACCTTTGAGAGAGTGGATTACACTATTGCAGAGAGCCTCGTCGTCTCCCTCCTTAATTTTCTCATCATCGCCATCATCATCCTCATCCTGCTCATCATCATAATTGCCATCGTCATCATCACCGTCTTCATGGCCGTCATCTTCTTCTTCACAGTCGTTGCCTTCCATTCTGTCATCTTCTACTTCAAAAGACAAAATTTTGATTCTTGTGGAAACCTGGGTATATTAGTATTTTCATATTAATTTTTTGTTATAATTATTATAAACTTAAAAAAGTGGTTAATGTTGTAGGCCTAATTTACTGAATCGTATAAAGGACAAAGAGAAGGGGTGCGGCACAATAGAGAGAAAGAAAGAGATGTGTAATTGTGATATGTATGTTATATCACCCATTGTGCCCTTATATAGTAGTTGGGAAGGTTAATTCCTTACCCTAATAGAATTACAACTCCAATAGAATAATATCTAACCTTAAAGAATCTTCTAAAGATATCCTAAATATAGTTGAATTTACACAATCACATTCCTAATCTAATAGGACTGCAACACTCCCCCTTTGAGTGTGTAAATACTCAACTAAATGGTGCATTAGGTCTTTAGCGATGAATTAAGTATAGTTGACGAAGTCGTCGGCACAATGAGCGAATGCGAGTCTCAAATCCACGGAAGAATGCATAAACAGTAAAACTACAAAACCTCGCTATGGTAAAACCCAAGGTGGGATAAAAACCCATAGACTAAGGAGAAAAGTGAGAAGTTGCATTATATCAAAACTAAACGTCTTCTGGACACAAGTAGAAGCTCACAAGGGTATGACCAGCCAAGGATGGGTGCCTCGTCAAAACCTAGTTAGGTAGCAAAAACCCAGTGGGAAAATGCTCCTAATCATAAGGAAAAAGAGTACATTAAGATCAAGTGAGTATACTTCTGGATACTCCCCCTAAGTTTACAAAACTTCCAAATGAGAACTACAAGCATTGCATATGAATAGTTAGGCATACCAATTCCTCGGAAAAGCTTCTGGAAGGTTGACATCGGTAGTGACATCGTGCAGATGTCGGCAAGGTTGTCTAGGATCGGCTTGCATGACTTCAATCTCCTAATGCTTTGTCGATGTGATGTAGACGCAATATGTCTTGGTGTTGACTTTGTTGATGTATCAACACTTGGTCGGGTTGATACATGTGGCATAGTCTTCATGGATCATCATTGGGACTCAAAGAAGGATGAAAATAGCAAGTACTTCGAATATGCTCAACAAGAGCTCTCAACCATGTCTCACGTGTGGCATAGTGAAGTGAGGTGAGTCTTGGAACATTTCAAATATTTCGCCACTAATGTCATATCGTGGACCTCCAAGATATTGCGATATCCCTAATGGTAAAGACATAACTATTTAGGGATGTGCCTTGTGCGGGTTTGATAAGTAAGCAGCGTCGACAAAACAAATAAGGCAAGCATTATTCTGAGGATTAAGAAGGTCAAATCAGATCTACTCGGGATGCGTTGGGATTAGCCCAAATTCGTAGTACCTTCAGGGTAGCCAGAAAACGTCTTTAAAACCAATTCAGTGGTTGCGTGTAGGCGTGATGCTGCATCTTTACCAACAAATCAACATCGAATGAGATGTCATTTCTAATGCAATGAGCTAAGTACAACAAAGCGCAAAGTTGAATTCAAATATGGAACTTTGGATTCCATAACTTCTTCAAGGGTCTCATTTGATTACAGTGTATGGAAGATCATAGGTATACTCAAAAGGTAACACCTTCAAGGTGTAGTTCAACTGGTAAAGTACCGTCAGAACAATGCTTCAACTTCAGGTCAAGGCATAAACGAGTTTTCCAAGATCCTTCATCTCAAATTCTGTCTTTAGATGCAAGGTAGTTTTCTTAAGCTCTTTTAGAGCTTTAGTAAGATTCATGTCATTGACATAAATTGTAACTCTAGTAATTCGGGATAAGACTTCATAGTTTAACACGCAAGGGCGTAATTCATATCCCTGACTGATCAAATAACCACTTAGATAGGTATACCACATCCGCTAGATTGCTTCAATCCATAATTGAACGCCTCAAACAAGTTGAAAGGGTGTTCCGTGGTTTAGAACTATTTGAACCAATCCATGTAATTCTTCTTGAACTTACATGTCAATCTTCGTATTACTATCCCCATGGAGAAACACTAACCATATTTCATAAATCTGCTATCAATCACAGGGTTTGAGAGAAACCTTACGCCGTAAGGCGTGTATCATATCTCATTATTTCATTCATCTCATTACGATTCCTTTCCCACTAGTAACACAATAGGGTTACCTTGGGTAATGTAGGAACTATAGGTCCAAAACACACTTTGGTAAGGAATTTAACCTGGATTGTGATTTCGGCTGTTCAATAAGTTCTACGTTGTCACTAATCAACGGAACACGGTTCGATATCGATACTTTTCATTTATGTCAGTAGCTACCATATAAGTGAAAACATCATCTCATCCAAACTAGTATAATGGACCAAGAACTTTAAGTCTTGGGAGTAATCCGAATTAATCTCATAAGATGGAAATGATTTGAGACAGTGATCGAGTATATATTCATTTTGTGTCATGTCTTCCTCTTTTAGGGAAGTGAATCTTATGAACCGAGTGATTTTTCGTGCTTCAGGTCAAGTTAGATTGATTGGCTATCCGCCAATCTACCGGACCGTCCAATAGGGGCGGCCAAATCGTTCAACAGGGACAGCGTATCGTTTGGGGATGTTGACTCAACGTCCGTTAAATACCTATATCATTGCAGGCTTATTTACAGCTGGTATATGATCTCGTCACTTTAGCTAGATCAGAAGACTGCGTTTGGAGTAACATTCTGAAAGCTAGAATACATCGCACTTGCTTATCACACTTGTGCGGTATGAGGATCAAGATTATGAGACATAGTGGGCAACGTCCACGCAAATTCACGTCGTTCTACAAGAACATTGAGGTTCTTATCTCCCCTTAATGGTGAGAAGATTGTCTAATTGAAGTGACAATCCACAAAATGAACAGTAAAGAGATTGCATGCAAGGGCTCTAAAAAGCTAATGTGAAGAAGAATCATGATCGACAAAGATTCACAACCTTCTTTGAGGACCCATATTGGTATGTTGCGGTGGCGCAACGTGGCACAGGGAATGCACACCTAAATGTGTAACTATGAAATGTCAGGTTCATACCTAGTAACCAACTATAACGTCAAATATGTTGGGTGGCAATAAGCCTCAAGGCGGACCAACATAGCTGCCTAGAAGATTGCATAGCCTTAGGCAGAAACAAAAAGTTTGGTGCGTTCACCAAGGTCCAGTCGATCATTTAAATTATGGTTTATGATCACTTTGCGAAGCTGTTTTGGGGTGAACATGAGAATTTGATGTTCACATATAAACCAAAAGATGTGTAAAACTTATCGAAAAACCATCAATATAAACTCTCGACATTATCCAGTCTTCCAGACTTTATGGGATAAATAGGGTGGTAAACCCTTAAATCAGTCAGGAGGTTTACCATCAATGTGTGTGGACAAACATGTGGCCAGCTTGTCGATTCATCAACCGAAACTAAAAGTATTTATATGGTCCCCATTTTGGTTGAATTAGTCCACATATGTTCCCTTGAATCCACTGTGAAAGAGGCACATTTCGTATCTTTGTGAGGGATGATATAGAAATCAAATTTCCCAAACGAGCAAGCTTGGCAAAGTCTGCTTGTAAGCACATGGTCCTGACTTCGGGTAAAGAGATGCGTCGTAACATCATTATTCGACCTAAGTGTCCCAAACAATCGTGTCAAGTCAAGTAAACTGTTCAATCACCAGGCTCTAAGCCGGCCACATGTGGTGTGTTCCCAGCTGAAAGACAACCTATTGGCCCCAAAGAAAAGCTTCAGGCTTATTTTTGGAGGTGGTGCAAAGATATTTCACTCTATTTTCCATCAGTGGTTTCATTCATGATTATTGTCATCTTGAATATCCTTAAAACTCAACGACGTTCTTCCGAAACGGGGAGAATATAAGGTCTCTTAAATGGTAATTTAGTACCATTCATACAACGAGGAGTGTGCTAATAGCCCCTAATCAGGTTGGATAAGCCTGAAGTCATTGCCAGAGAGGTGATTTAGGTATAAAGTTAGTGTGCATAGTATCATATTCATCCTAACAACTAACTTTCCCATATTTGTACCTATACACGTGTTTAATTGAATTCGGTCACACGTATACAAGAAATATGATTCAATTAACTTATATTCAACTACAATATCAATAAGATTATCCATAACTAAATCAAACACCAAATGTGAATCCAAGTTACTAAGAGGATTTGGCCAACAAGGCTATTCATGCCAAAATTCTGCTCTTCTAACGGTGTTCGGTGAAGCAAAATTAACCTCACATATTGACTACGAGAATGGTACTCCTCTACGATATTGGTAGGGGCACTAACATATGTGTAACCAATGATATATTCCATCCGGATGGAAGTAGATTCTGCAGGATTGAGGTTCGGGAACAATATCCCTTATTCTTGAAGTTTTAGGTCTTAGGTGCCAAAAATCACACTTCAGGCGTGATGTCACACCTTGGCAGGCCTTGATTCTACCATACGTTGTAAAAACAAACTTGAAATTGGATTGTGAGAGAGACAGACCCATGCTTGGGTTCGATAGGCTCTAGCCGAAGTTGGAGGGGTCTGTTCGATAGGCCTCTGCCGAAGCAGAGCACTAGAGTTCAATGCACCTCTGCCAAAGCAGAGCATGCCTTTCGGTGCATCCTGCCAAAGCAAGGCACCACCATTCGGTTGAATCCAACCAAAGCTGAGTCTGTACCGTTTTCTCACATTTATGGTAGTCAATCTGAGAATTTGGTAAACTTCCACTCTCTACACTACTGCTTTAAGAGCAAGTTAGAAACAATGAAGGATGAGAAAAAGTATTCTCGAGTAGAAATTTTGTTAGATTTATAAACTTTAGAATCGTACTCATTCATGGACGTAATCATGGTGTGCTTCAGGCACTATCTTTCTTGATTAAATGGGTCATAAAAGCAAGCCAAAGAGCCATGGAATCCTCATTTGGGAGGTATTTCCATTGGTTATGCTTAGAGCATAAGTCTTCGAGTGAAGATCATGGTGAAGGCTTATTGCTCTTCCATGCCATTATTGGCTTCAATGGTTACTCAGTTTCTTGATAGTCAAGTGAAGTGTCACGTCTTGTATCCACATAAAGTGGTTTCTATTATAAACGTCCAAATAAGTGAAATTGAACTTGTTACGATTCGACAGTCCACTGAATGGAGGGAATAAGATTGTGATTGGTGCATCAAAGTTAAAACATTCGGGTTCTAAGACATGGTTTTCATAAAAAACGTTGGGTTTTCATAGGTGTATTGTTTTATGAAAACTTTGGGCTTCAAAAGCACTAAATTTAAACTACAGGTTCAATTTAGTTTATGAACATTTAGTTCATAAAAGAGAGGTTCCTGCAAGAACACAGAATACAATATACAACTAAGTGTAGTAGATTTGGGTTGCTTCAGAAACTCAAGTGTGAGTGTTTCAGGACTACAAAAGTGAGTCAACGATTCAAAGAAAAGAAATAATTTATTGAATCGTTAATGGCCAATAAGTGAACTTCCAGTCAATAATTTTGGATTAATTGTCAAATTAATGGACTGCTGGTCACTTTAATTAATTTAATAGATCGTAACCATCCATGTCTGGCTGCAGGCCACGTGCTGGTTCTGGGAAAGAGCCCAGCAGCTTCTTGAATTGTAAGTCTATAGCTGATTAGGAAATAAGTTATGTATCAATTTGTGTATTCACTTGTGTTAAAATACCAAGTGTGCAGCTCCATTGTTGTAAGACAAATAATGCCAGGTGTAATGATCCTACCAATTAGCTAGATGTAAGGATGAGATTGTTTTGTAAAGAGAAAGAATCCACCTTGGATTCTAACGGTTATGTAAGCACCGAGTGTGTGAGTTGTAGAGAGAGAGTTGAAATGCTCTGCTAGATTTTACAGAGAGTGAAAACTATGACAACCCGTCCCTAATTTTACGTTTTATAAATTTTAAAAGTATGAATTGACGAAAATGCCCTAGAGGCAAGGATTTTGACTTCCATTGACCATGAGTCATTCTTTTGGAGTATTTGCATAGTAATCATTGCCACGAATGCATAAGTGAAAGCTGTTTGCTAGTCTGGATTATAACGATATAGTTACGGATGTTTGAAATCGTTTTACTAAACTATAGGTTTTGAATTAATTAAACTCCCACTATGTGGGAATGAGAACCAATTAGGGGCTTGGTTTCAGCCCAATCAGGAATATGTTGTTGACGAGACCAATTAAATTAAAAGAGTAATGGACCAATCAGAAATTAGGGAGGAAATAGGGACCAATCAGGAAAGGGAGAGAAAGCTCTCACCATTCCCTTCGACTCGTACACCAGCGTAGCAACCCATTTCGACCCAAAGTGATTTCCAGCCACCTCCACTATTTTTTTAGGCCAACTACACCTATCCATCACCTGCAGCCTCTTCCACAACCTCTCATCTACCATTTTCGCCTAAGATCGAAGGGTTTTAGGTCCTATTTCATGTAGAACTTCACCGGAGCATCAGAGATGCTCGACGGCGATTCCTTTGTTCCGATGAGTTGCACCACCCACTACCTTTAATCAATTCCCTTGGACCCAGGAACAAGACCCAACTAGTGGTAGGGGAGTGGGAACACCGAGGAAGGAGAATCGAAGAACACTCACCTTAAGGCTTCCGGCTGGTTCGAGCTAAATTTGGGCTTTTCCTGGCCAAATTGGACTTGGCCATAAGTATAAAACTTTCTTTACTCATTGAGATATTCATTTTTGTAAAATTTGAGAATTTTTTTGAGATGGTTGAATTTTCCGCCGAGTAGGGATTGTCGATCGCCACGTGTGGTGGCACGTAGACCGAGGCACCCCCTGACCTTCCTAGGCTAAATTTGATACCCCAATTTTATATGGGAAATCTAATTGATGAAATGTCATCGATTGAACATAGTTTTGAAAGAGACTGCCATTTGATTCTTATATGAATCGACGATCCGACCGTTGGATTGTCACCAAACCTTAATACATTATATTACGTAATATTTGAGAAAAATAGGAACTTATTGATTAGGAATCCCACCTACAGATCTTCCCAAATTAGATTTGTAAGTTCGTAAAATAAAACGTCGACCACCACTTAATTTTAGCAATTAGCGGTGATCGGAACGTTGGATTGTTCCGAAACTCTAGGATGTTATTCTAGAAGCTTATTGAAAATTTTGGGAAGTTATGGATCGGAAATCCAAGGTGTGGATCTTTCGAATTGAGTTACTTACGGTTGTGGACCCTACTGTCAACCTTTGACCGATGATTGACTTTTTGTCAAATGTGTTTCAAATCATTCTACAATGTCCTTGGGGATGTGTTTTATGTAAGTTATGTGTTCTATCAATAAGGATTCTGAAATGTGATTTGATAATTGTTCTAGGCGTCGATTGTTCGAGATGCCTCGATATTCATGCTTGGGAGTTGTAGTGCAGACTCCAAGTGAATGAGTCTTTTCCTTTTTATAGTTATATATATATGATTAATAGTTTCATAAATGCTTTTGGATTGATTTATGCATTTCATGCCATGATTAAATTATGCTATGTGAAATGTTGCATTGTGGTGAGATGCTAAAATAATCCTACGGGATGTGCAGGTAAGTTCAGGTAAGTTTATTATGGTGATTACACTTATTGAATCATTATGACATGCATATATTCATGTAGTGCTACGATCACGTGAAGTCAGCGCTATGCATAGATTGATGAGCCATAGCGCTGACTTCACAAGTCGCATTAGGCAACTTCGACTTGTGTGCTAGCATAGATTGATGAGCCATAAGTGCAGTAGTACAGGTCACTTTAGGTGACTCCGACTTGCGTGCTAGTATGGACTATTGAGCACATCATTATATTTATATTGCTGATGTGATACCGTGTTGTGGCTTCTGGACTTACTATCAATTTGCATTTGATATCATACCTATATGTAGTATGATTTTCTGGAAACTATACATGTTTTACGATGAGGGGTTATGACGTTTTTAAAGGTTTTTATTAAAACTTTATTTTCAGGCCCACTTACCTTTATTTTTCGCGCCTCCAGATTTTAGCCGCTGAACGTTTGTATCGACAAGGATTCTTGGCGAATCTCAATTTAGGTGGCTACCTCTAAGGGTCTAATCCTCATCCACTCTACTGTACTTTACTTATGCTCTGATGTCACGTGTGAAATGGGTTCATTCTTGCTCACCAGCGCACTCTTATATTTAGGCACTTTTAGATTTAAATTTATTTACATTTTCCACATCACTACAGTTTATGGCTTCATCACCTTCCAGATATCGGCCAGCATAGCTTGATTCGGAGTCCTAGTGGACATACCGGGTCGTGGTGTGTCAAAAACCCTTCGAAAATTCTTCCATTGCTATCCCTCTTATTTTGTTTTTCGATTGTTCATATCATAACCAGACTTTAAAACCAAATCACAACATGGCCTCAGAGCCAGGTTCGATCATTTGAATTTGGGCATAAAACTATGAATTCTCATAGTTGAATCGAAGCTTGGTGAAGGTCGTCGGAGCTCCATTACCATCTAAGAAGAGTATTCAACTCATTTAGACCAAAGATGTTTGGATCTGAAGGTTTAGAAGTGAGAACTCCAATTTTCTCTGGTGAGAACTACGAGTTAAATTCTCATTGAATCGCATGGATTGTGGAATCTAGTTGAAAAGGGAGTATAATTCTCGATTTAAAGAAGAAAAAGAAGGTTGAAGAATCATCAGAGGATGAGGTAGATGATGAAATGGCTGCTATGTTGATGAAATATGCAAAGGCTCTAGGAATTATTTAGAATGCAGTCTCTGATCAAATTTTTTCTCGAATTGCCAATGCTGAATCAGCAAAGATAGCATTGGATATGTTATATGGACAGTATCATGGTGGCAATCAAGTGAGGTCTATGAAACTGCAAAACCTTAGGTGTGTGTTTAAATATGCTAGAATCTGTGATGATGAATCTCTGTCTGGATATCTTACAAGACTAAATGATTTGATTAATCAGATGAAAACATTTGGTGAAATTATTTCAAATGAAAGGCTTATGCAAAAGGTTTTGATTAGTTTTAGTAAACCATATGATCCTATATGTTTAGTTATTGAGAATACAAAATGTTTGGAGACTGTAGAATTGCAGTAAGTTATTTCAATTTTGAAAAGCCAAGAACAACGGTTCAATTTGCACATTATTGACACAACTAATAGACCTTTTGTCTCACTCTCTTTGAATCCAAAAGAACAAAACAAAAGTGATGCTCATTCTAATTCATCCAGATTTCAAAAAAAAATGGAATTCCAAGGGTAAGAAATGGGAATCAAAACCAAGTTTCAATATAGATCTTCTATGAATAACTACCAGAATGTGAATTCATCTCAATCAATGAGCCAAGAGGTTACAAAACCTCAATGCAAGGTGTGTTCTAAGTATCACTTTGGTGAGTGCAGACACAAAGAGAAACCCAAATCTTTCAATTGTGATAAGTTTGGGCATTTGGCTAGAGAGTGTATTGTAGCAAAGGCAATGCAAAAGGAAAATCATACAAACCAAATGGATGTGTCTGGAAATATGTTCTATGCCAACAATGCAACTGTTGAGACTAAAGTAAATGGAGAATGGTACATTGACAGTAGTTGTAGAAACCATATGACATGGAATGTGGAGCTGCTTATTGATGTGAGGACCAATGTTGCAGGCAAGGTTCAAATGACAACTAGAGATATTGTAAATGTTGCAGGAATGGGATCCTTGGTTATTGACACAAACAAGGGAAAAAAGTATGTTAGAGAAGTAATGTACCTAAAATTTGCTCAATGTTGGTCAAATGGATGAACATGGATATTTCTTGGTATTTAGTGTATGAATGTGTAATGTGTTTGATGGTCCATCACTACATTGCTTGGCCATTAAAATGAAGAAGAAAGTGAACATATGTTATCCACTGACTCTTTTACCTGAGAACCAAATTGCATTGAAATAAAGTGTCACTCATTCTACTGAGATTTAGCATAAGAGACTCGGACATCTACGTTTTGGTGGCCTCAAGCAATTGAGTGACAAAGACATGGTTCATGGATTGCCCTAACTTGAAGACCACAGTGGTGTCTGTGAAGGCTATCAATATGGGAAGCAACATAAAGAAGAGTTTCCAAGAAAACAAGTGCAAAGGGCTAATGCTCCACTTGAACTCATCTATGTTGATCTATGTGGACTTCTGAAAAATGATTCAATTGCTGGAAATAAGTACTTTATGCTCTTGATAAATGATCTTACTAGAATGACTTGGGTGTATTTCTTAACATCCAAATTTGAAGCATTCAATTGTTTTAGAAAGTTCAAAGCTATGACAAAATTGCAAAGTGGATTCAATATTACGTGCCTGAGAAGGGATAGAGAAGGAGAGTTCAAGTCATCTGAATTTGATCTGTTTTGTGAGAGAGAATGGATACAAAGACAGTTTACTCTAGCATATACTCCACAGCAAAATGGAGTGGTAGAGAGAAAGAATATAACTGTGATTGAGATGGCAAAATCTATGTTACATCATAAGCGAATGCTATATTATCTCTGGGCTAAAGTAATTCATACATCAATGTATATACTGAATAGGTGTCCCACAAAGGCTTTGGATAATATCACACCTTTTAAAGCTTATTTTGGAAGAAAACCAAGCATTGCTCACTTAAGGATATTTGGTACGCTATGCTATGTGCATGTTCCAAGTGAACACAGACATAAACTTCAGCCTAAAAGTTCCAAATGAGTATTTGTGGGATATGCAACCTATGAAAAAGGGTGTAGGGTGTTTGATCAAATACCTAAGAAACTTGTCTTGTCAAGAGACATTGTTCTTGATGAAGAAGTTGCTTGGAATTGGGAAGATAATTCAGATCAACCTTTTCACACTACTGGAAGATTTGCTTATGGTAGTGCTAGTATTGAAAGCAATGAAAGTATAGTCTTGTCTCCTGTATCACCTGCATCACCTTTATCTAGAAGAGCTCTTATTATTGGAGACTCTGGAACTCAATCTAAGCTTCTCACTTTAGGTGAATCTACAAGCACTTCAAGCCTGAATGAGAAATATAGTTAAGCATTTGATCATGCACCATTGAAATGGAGGAAACTAGATGAGGTACTAGCTCAGTGTAATCTTTGTATCATGGATCCAAACAAATATGAAGATGTTAAACAAGATGAGTCTTGGTTGAAAGCAATGGACAATGAGTTGTTCATGATTGGGAAGAATAGTACCTGGAAGCTTGTTGATAGACCAACTAAAAAACCTGTCATAGGGGTTAAATGGGTCTACAAAACCAAGCTAAATCTTGATGGTTCAGTGTTGAAAAATAAAGTAATGTTGGTTACAAAGGGCTATGCACAAAAGCCTGGATTTGATTACAATGAAACCTATGCTCTAGTTGCTAGAT